TGTATATATGTATATGATATATATTATATATAATACATACATATATATGTATATACATTATATATTATATGTATATATATGTGCATATATACATGTATATACATGCATACATACATACATTTATACACAAACGCATATATATGTGTATTATAATCATATATTCCCGTTTTCCTCTTTCCACAAGAAAGAAGTGCAACAAAGATGAGACGACGAACTTCCCCACAGTCCTTCCGCGTCCAAGTCCTTCCAGCGGGCCAGCTCTATCCTCCTCCGCCTCTCGAGGTCCTGTTCAGCCTCCTCGCTCTCTACTCGCCACGCCCTGGGAGGCAGCCCCGCCCTGCCGTGACGTCACCACGATGGGACTATTTAAGGGCCGACCGTCCTGGTCTCGGCACCACAAGTCTTTGTACACCGTCTGTACACCGCCAACCACCATCACCGCCATGAACTCCGTAAGTAAACCTTCCCGTGTTTTTGCTCTTCAAGCACATAAGGGACAAGAATCCAAAGCCAAATCCAGCTGACGATACACCTGACCAAAGCACACAGGGGTACGTCCTCTCTCCTTCGTGTCTCACAGTGCCTTCCCTTGCAGATGCTGATCCTGTCTGCCCTGGTCGCTTGTGCCGCCGCCTCCCTGGTGGTGCCAGGCCCCGTGGCAGTGCGTGCCCCCTCCCACGACTCTGCCATTATCCAGAGCCACCGTCTGGGCGGCAACTTCGCTTACTCCACCCACGAGGCTCACGCCTACGCCGTGCAGACACCCGTCATCGGCCAGCGCACCGTGCCCGTCGGCGTCTCCTACCACCACGGCGCCCCCATCGTCAAGACCTCCACTGACTACATCACCCACAAGATCCCCCAGGTCGCCTACACCTACCCACAGGTCGCCGTTCAGGCTGCCGTACCCCAGGTCGCCACTTACGCCGCTGGACTGCCCCTTGCCGGTACCTACGCTGCTGGTCTGCCTTTTGCTGGTCCCTACGGCGCTGTACCCTACCCCTACGCCGCCGTCGTCGCCGCTAAGCCTGATGAGGCCGCCGCCGAGGAGGCCTAAGATGGCCCTGTGACTGGATCCTGCACGACGCTTTCCGTCCCCCTGTCTCCTTCTTCCTTCCACGGCCGATCCTGGCGTGGCCGTCCGGCGCAGCGACAGAGCCTTCGGGTTGGTCGCTGCGCCTTGTATAGCTACGGTGTACAAACTTGTGTCAGAAAAATAATAACAAATTAAAATATACATAAATCCATATGAAAATATGTTTCCAAACATTCCTCTCGCGCAACACATGGCAACGAAACTCCAAACTAACATGTATGTCACATGTTATAATTGTACTGCCTCTTTCTCCGTTTCTGGCTTTTCATGTGACTGTCTTTACGTCAATATATTTCATTTCTTTTTCGATGTTGCCTTTTTTCATTTTTCTTAATTTATATCTATATCTTTTCTCTTTTATGTTACTATCCATTTCTTTTTACGCCAATGATAATGACCGTAAGTGAGGATAATAACAATAGTAAACTGAAATGTCAACAGTGATGACTTCATGTTCAAATTCTACTCGTGATAATGAGAATAATACAATATTTATGATGGCAACTATGTCTACTATATATTCGCAGAAGTTACAAACGTGAGACTCAGTAATTATAAAGACATCTGCCATTACTAATGTCAATGACAATATATATCAGAGATTCTGGAATTATGACAGATTCTTGACTTCAGACCACCACGTACCACTACAAGACATAATTTACACCTTGCAATTATTTATATTTGTGTCTGTGCCAACCTGTTTCTGCGTATGTTGTTACGCATGTATTCCCTTTGTAAATAGTTGGAAAAATAATCGCCCGTTTTATCAATGTATCTGTACCGTTTCTACTCCCATGTTATTGCCCGCCCTTGATTTCTATACCTTGTACCGTTTCCTCTTCCATGTGTACCCCCAGATTATCGCCTTCCTTGTTTTACATGCCTTTGTATCCTTTCTCTTCCTTTCGCCATCCTCCGGTTAATGACCCCCTTGTGGCCTCTATTCTGTCTGTCTGTCTGTTTATCATCTATGCCCTAAAACTTGTACCATTTCTTTTACACTCCCTTACCCTACGTTCTATATCTTTTCTTTCCTTTGGGTTATTATATCCTTTCTCTCTGTCTCTGTAACCTTTTCTTCTTCCGTTTATATACCCAGGTTATCACCTCCCTTGCCATCGCCCTTCCTTTTCGTCCGTTTTCCTTTGTGTCCCCGTTTCCCATGCGTCTGTAGCATTTCCTCTTCCGTCTCTTCCTCAGTCAAGCGAGCGCGACCTTCGTACAGCTGATCCGCGAACTGGACCAACATGCTTTACGCCATGCAGGTTCCGTGTGATTTCAGGATGATGAGCACAGGTTATTTGTTTGCTTGTGTGTGTTTGTGTCCGCCTGAGTATGCCTGCTTGTGTGTTTACGTCCGTATATGTCTGCTTGTGTGTGTCTGAGTCCGTATATGTCTGC